ACAGCCAAGGAAACAATGGACAGAGTGAAGAGACAATCTACAGGATGGGAGAAAATATTTGTAAACCATACCTCTGGAGATTTGGATATTAAGGGTTTACATCCAAAAACCCCTTACGCATTTGGATATTAAGGGGTTAATATCCCAAATATACGTTCTACAGTGTCTAAATCATGTTTAGGCAACTAGATAGATATCTACATGCAAAAGAATATAGTTAGATAAGAAGAATAAACTTAAGATATCTATCATACAACATGGTGACTATAGTTGATAACAATGTATTACATTCTTGAAAATTTCTAGGAAAGTAGATTTTAAGTGTTCTCATCACAAAAACATAAGTATGTGCAGTAATGCGTACATTAATTAGGTAGACTTAACTGTTAAACAATGCAGAAATGGTGTTTGGGCAACTGGATATTTACATGCAAAGGAATAAAGTTAGACCCTCATCTCATACCATATACAATAATTAACTATGTTTTAGAACAACATGTTATACATGATAAACAGTTTTTATGTCAATTAAAGTAAATTTTTTTAAAGAGTTAGGGTCATAATCTATGCTAATTCTCTTGAATTCATTCAGGTGTTTAACTTCATGGTTACTGGCATTTCCGGGAATAATTATAATATAGAAATGGTCTTGTTAAAAATTTTATATTAAGAATATTAACAAAAAACTCTGTTATTGATATACCAAGAAGTAAGTAAGTAGACTACATGTCTATTGAAAATTTCTGTGCAACTTCAGTCTACAGAACCCTCATTACATTTGCAACCACCAGCCCTTTATTTCCTTTGCTGAGTGGAGATTCGATGCCTTGGTGTCCAGTTGTTTCTGTTTCTGGGACTCTACAAAATTATTTTTGTCCCTTCTTTAGTCACATGATTCTCCTTTCAGGAAAACACTACAGTATCTTATGATTAGAGCATTTATTTCATATATGCTGTTTATATCAGATTCCATTACTTTAATATGAACATTAGTAGCTGATTTTTAGCAAAGATGATTTTTATCTTTTATCAGGTTTATACTCTTTAACTAACATGTGGTAAGCGTTTTATATGCCAAGCACTAGTGTAAAGTGTCTCTCAATGGAATATTTCATGTACTTCTCCCTTTATTTCTTTTTTTTTTTTTTTTTTGAGACGGAGTCTCGCTCTGTCGCCCAGGCTGGAGTGCAGTGGCGCGATCTCGGCTCACTGCAAGCTCTGCCTCCCGGGTTCACGCCATTCTCCTGCCTCAGCCTCCCGAGTAGCTGGGACTACAGGTGCCCACAACCGCGCCCGGCTAATTTTTTGTATTTTTAGTAGAGACGGGGTTTCACCGTGGTCTCGATCTCCTGACCTTGTGATCCGCCCGCCTCGGCCTCCCAAAGTGCTGGGATTACAGGCGTGAGCCACCGCGCCCGGCCTTCTCCCTTTATTTCTATGATGCAGGTTTTAGTAATCTAATTTTCAGTTGAGGAAACTGAGATCCACAAGGATGAAGTCAAGTAAAAAGTGGCAAAGCTGGAACTGGAACCCGGGTCTGCTAACTCCTGGTCCAGCACACTCTCTGCTACACCATGGCACCCCCTGTCACTTGATGCTAACATTTAAGTTTCCCCAGAAACATTACAGGCAGACCTATAGCTTCTCTTCTTGTATAACAGCCAATTCCCAGCATTGAGTCGCGGCCTCTCTAATTCCTATTAAGTCATTCGTTAGGACAGACATGCAGAAAGAGTTCAATTCTTGGAAGAATTCAAAGGCTGCTCACTTTGATTGTTTTATTTGAAAACGACTTTTTCTAGTAGTTGGCTTTCAAGTAACTCGCTGGACTGATAACTTCTTGAGCTTGAAGATGCTCTCCTGAGGACACGTTCTTTATTTTAACTGAAGTCTTCGTCATTGGCTGGCTTCCAAGTGGTCTACCAGATGTCTTTTTCTATGCTCTAGCTGTAGTAGATTATGATGTTCCAGCTCATTTTTGCAATTTGCTATACTGTGCCTGATTTCTTTAGCAAACCACACTTGGAAGGCCAAAATCATGGAGCAGGCAGCAAGTGAGCCTTCAGAATATGTTTTCTTAGGCACTCTTGGGCAAACAACACACACACACACACAAACACACAAACTCTCTCACCTTTTATTTTAGTAGTTAGGCCTGGATTTTCCTAAAGGTTCACATACCTGTAACTTTCTCAGGATATGTAACTCCAAAATGGGTCCTCTAGGGACTAAGTAATCCCCCAACTAGGACCTTAAGAAATCTCCTTTCTGAGAAACCTTTCCTTTTCTTCTTGGATGCTTGCAGAAAAGAACCCACTGAAGTTCTCTATTCGTTTCCTCAGTCCTGTACTTTATGTCCTGAGATGCTTCCCATCTTGAAATGAATTGTATATCGTGTGTCCACAGGGGAGGTCCTAAAGTCCATTCTACTCTTGGAAGCAAATGCAGAGTTAATTCTTACTTATGACTGTATCTACAGCATCTAGAATAGTTTCTGGTACTTAATAGTAGCTAAAAAATCAATTTACTGAATCAACCAACTCAGAGTCAGGCATCAACTGATTGACTTAGGCAACTGGGAGGAATTTAGTCATTTCTTATTTTTTACACTTCTTTGAGAGTCAGCGTGACCTTTACCCCTAACTTAAGTGGCACATGATGAGGGGTTTCATTTTACTTTCCTGTTCCATAGAGGAGCAAACCAATTAAACGTATAATAAAACAGATGGGAATTTAGACTTTATACGATTCTGGGAGGGTCTGAGGGCCTCCGGGGACCTGTCACTGGAGTGAGGACTGGAACTCTCCATCTCTTAGCCAAGTTTTGTTAGCCTCAGGTGACGGTGTTAACACAGTGTTAGGCTGCCTTTTCAACAAAATACAAACAAAACCAAACAGAAGAAAAACAATCAAACCAACCCCCCACCGCCCACTGGCTTACAGAGGCAGCAGGATTGTTGTGTCGAGGAAGGGGCCAGAACAGGAGGAGGTGGCAGTTTTCTAACAAACCGTATTGTTTGAACAGTTTTATTTAGTGTGAAAAAAAAAAGGCCCTCATACTGAAGATTTATTTGGAAGTTCTGGGCAGATTAACTTTTGGTAAGAGTCAGAACTAAAAACTTTATTGGGAATGCCACATACACTCCAAAGACCAACAAGAGAATTTAAGTTAGATGTGATTAGTATGAAGAAAGTTACATTTATTGTACTCTTATGTGTAATTGATCACATGAAAGGCCTTTTGTAACTATAAAAGAGACAGTCCATTAAATTGTTTTGCCCTGAGGATTATACAAATTTGCAGATACCGGATTGGATTACCAGCCTATTGGTTTCATAGCAATGGTAAATCATTAAGATGCTTATTTTTGTTCATTTATCTTTCTTGTTATTTATTATTAACCAACTAGCTCCTCCCAGTTTTAGCTTTACTTTCAGACATCTGAACCAATCATTCTGCCTCTTTTCTGTGATCAAACTGGTTGCTAGAACTCTATGTGTCACCTTTCAGGATGCTTAAAACAGAAAAAAAAATATTTGGCAAGAACAGAGCTATGTTGTTTAGTCACGGACAGAGAGTCTATAGAAAAAGTCGGAGACCATCTTATCTCTTGATGTGAGTAGAGAGGCCATGACATCCTTGGCATCGTGTTGTGCAAATTCATTGAGCTCATTTCCAACCCTTCCATTATCCAGATAAGAATGTGCTCAGACAGTTAAAGGTTAAGTTATGAATATTATCTGGCACAAGCACATTTGTTTTAATGTTTATACTAGAAAAAGGTGGTGGAGGTTGGTGGCTATTCTTTACTTATTTCAAATGGCCCAGAGGAAAACTTAAGCTTTAACTCTTCCTACAGATGGTTCAGGAGGGTATAACTGCAAATCACAGCCTGTATCACAGAATAACTGAACCCAATGCGTCATTGTTTGTTCCCTTGATTTAGCATTTTTATTTGGAGAAATATACCTGGCAGATCTCAATCGTTAGAACTAAGTGTGGTTGGAATCAGATGGTTGTGTTGCCATGTGGAACTTCTCCAGTTAAGCATCTCACATTTCTTCCAGACCCCATAATGGGTACCCAGCCTCATGTTTTTCAGGCAGTGCAGAAAGTTTGGGATGTGCTCACTGCCAAGTACACAGCCACTATCTACTGTTTCCTTTGACTCCAAAGCAATCCACTATGCTGATTTTTGCTTTGTGCCAGCTCAGTTCCACTTAGAATCTTAACTGGAGCGGTCAGAAAGTGTGTGTGTATCTGTAAATATAGGGTTCTGTCAGCTTAGTCCAACTTGGTTGAGGGAGGGGAGAGAGAGAGAGACAGAGAGAGAAAGAGAGATTGTGCTAGATAAATGGTATTCAGTTCTAAATGAAGCCTCTCAATTAGTATTAAACATTTTTTTAAACAATCAAGATATTGAAGCTAGAAAGGAGTTAATGAGCCTATGGAGAAAGTAACTTCTAAAGATCATTTTGTGCTTGGGACAGTAATTGCTTTATGACATTTTGATGTCATTACAACATAAAATTACGAGGGCAAAATGTTTCAAGAGTGTTTCTTCAGATACCCTGTTAGGAAGCTATTAAAAGGCAAGAGTATGCTGGCAAAATGATTTCAGTGTGTGCCTTTGGATACCTGCTTAGCAAAACGTCATGAACTGAAGCTACAATGCAAAATGATTCCAATGTGTGCCTTTCAGAAAACACCCATTCGACTGCTGTTATGTCCAAATTGTAGTGGATGATTAAACTTGAAAGCAAGAACGAACGTGGGGGAAAAATCAGTGGAGATTAGTTTCAATTATGATGTCAGAATGAAATGAGACAATCATAAACATCAGGATTGAACCTCAACCCCCCCCGAACCAAGCGCTGTCTGAGCAATGCATGAGATGCTGAGACCTTCTAGTTTTTCTCATTATGGTAAAAATGACACCTTTCACTGAAGGACCAAAGCAGTTTTATGTATTAGGAGGTTGCAAAACAATACGGAATGTGGTAAAGAGGAGGTCAATTTACAGCTGAAATTCTAAATCTGCACAAATGCAAGAAAAGTCCTTTTTCTCTGGAAAACTGGAATATTGAAATACTCTTCTGCTATTGCACCCAGAAATTAATTATAAATGATAATTACAATGGAGGCTGCCTTTTTTAAAAAAAATCTCTGAAACATATCCAAGAATCACAACCGGGTGTGCACCAATGTCCTAAGTCTCTTACACAATCTCTCCTTTCTCCCCCAGATGTTGCCTCCTGCTGTGCAATCTTCACATCCAAAGAGGCACTAAGAAGCAAAACATCTGGGATGCTCTATTATAGAAGTTAGTGCTTAGAGGAAAAGAGGGTTAAAATAACTAATGTCTCTTTCTGTCAGTCCATGAAGCCAATTTGACTTTCCGACGTTTGCCAGTAAGCACAGTGTTCTGTAAATGCAACGTATTTTAAAAGTCTCCTGGCCTGTATCTTTCATGCTTATCAATGGGCTCATTGGAACTCACAGTTATGTTTTGTTTTGTATGTAATGTTTACCTGTTTGCTTGTGCAGATGTGTATGTGTGTGTTTCTGTGTATATGTGCTGTGCTGGTGGCAGTAAATATACTTGTAATGGTAAGAGAACGTGAAACTCAATTAGCCTGTTCTCAGAAATAAAGAAATAAGAAATTGGTTGAGATTAATATCTCCCATCACAAACACAGTGGGAAAGTTGGTTCTCATCGGCTCCTGACAGCAGAGTGCCAATGGAACCATTAGGCACCATGCCACCTCTCTTCTCATGGTACCACATACAATTATGTGATGAGGTGTGGAGTCTACATTTTCAAACAAAAGAGAGATGGCCTCTGGATAGATTTAGCAGGCCCATGGTCTTTCTACGTAAAAAGACGCTGGGGAAAAGGACACCTGAATATATTTTCTGTCTTGTACCCCAACATCCTTGCTTTCACCCAATTGTTTCATTTTAGAATAAAATAATTGTGGTTTTAGATTAGCTGAACATGAATCAGAATAAAGAAAGAGACAGGGCCCTATTCAATTTCAATTCAATTACAGAGTTTGGTATATCTCTTAGTTTTAGGCCTACTGATAGCTGCTTGGAGGGTCACTTCTGTTTGGGCAAAAAATGCCCCTGTCAGGATGTATTTGTGAGGTTACTCTGACTGCATAAACCCCTTCAACTTTGCTCAATGATGCTATCAAAGCTCTCAATGGAGTTTGAGTTTTAATTATTTGCTATTTATGTATTTTGTAAACTCCTCAGAGAAAGTGATGCTATAACCACTCAGTATTATTATTAAGGTTATTATATGCATATGCACTGCCACTTATTTTTGAAGAGTAAATATTTGTGCTAATTATATCAATGTCATCCACTGTGCTAATTATATCAATATCCACATGTTGATATTAATATAATTAATTAGCACAAAGATTTACTCTTCAAAAATACATGGCGGCATCTCTGATTCATTTGCCGTGAGGGGAGCATGAGGGGAGCACGGTTCTGCAGCACTGTATTTAGGCTCTGATATGCAATCAGCTTTAATAATTACCTAATACTGCAGGTGGCCTTAGACAAGTAAAATGGTTTTTTCCAGGTTTCCTGGGAATTGGATGCTAAGATGAAAAGCATATGAGTAGCTTTCTTCCAACATTCTTCTTGGTGATTAACCAACTATCCAAGTACAAAGTTGCTCCTAATTAACCCTGAGGACCCCAATATAAAGGTAGGTGGAATGAATTCAAGTGTTTAAAAAAGAGAAAAAATAATTCTCCTGAATTAACTGTTATCATTAAACAATATCTGGCTTGTTATATTTTAATTAAAAAAAAAAAAAACTACCTAGCAGTAAGAATCAGAAAGGGGATGGGAAAAACATCTGAGTCATGAACAACCAGAGCAGTGAGCAGAATTTAATTTGTGGCTACTCGTTATGTAATAAGTTCCTGGTAATCGTATTAATGACAATGACATTATGATAATAGTTTACGTTTATTGATTTCACTCTAAAACAGACATAGTGCTAAGTGTTTTTTATGTACTATTTTATCTAACACTCACAACTTTCTCAAGCACACTTACTATGATTGTTTCATAGAAGAGAAAACTGAGGCACAAGAAGAGTAACATCTGCTCCAGCCACATGGCTGATGCATGAGAGGGCCTAGACTACACCCAGGTCTTAGCCTCACCATGCTCTGAGGCCTTCCCAATGGATGTGTGCAAGGTACGCAGGAAGAGGTGGCCCAGGAACACTTGAGAGGTGGTCCCATCCACTTACTTTATTAGGGCAGAATAGGAAAGGTGCCTTGAACATACTTCGTCCCAAGAAACTATACGGGGGCTGCCTAGAAAGAAGCATCAAACTCAACAATGTCTTGACCAGGAAGTTAGCAGAAGGAAGACTTAAGTACAGCTGATTCTATTTCTCCCAGATTCATAAGCTGATACCTGGAAAGGATATTTGTTTGGAACAGGTATCAGGAGGTAATGAAAATGCCAAAGCTCCAAAATTTTATTCACAAGGTCTTGGTGATATGCCAATTCAGAAACAGAGATTTCTTGAGTCCAATCTTTGAGATACCATAGTTTTGACACAAATGGGAAAATTGAACCCCAGAATCTGCTAACAGGCCAAGGCTGAGTGTCCGCAGAGGAGCAAATAAAAGCAGTTGGAGCTTGGGGCTGCCACTTGCATGTTCTTTCTGCCATGCCACATGGCCTCTTCTTGACCTCCTCTGTGGGGTTAACCCGATGGCGTGAAAGTCTCCCCAAATTTATGAGTAAACTTCAGATATGCTCTTATGTTCTTGAATCAAATAATTAAATAAATTATCCTGGGAAACATAGTGAGACCCTGTCTCTACAAGAAAATAAAAGCTGGGCATGGTGACACGTGTCTGTAGTCCCAGCTGCTTGGGAGACTGAGGCAGGAGGAATGCTTGAACCCAGGAGGTTGAGGCTGCAGTGAGCCGTGATTGCATCACTGCACTCCAGCTGGGGCAACAGAGCGAGACCGTCTCAAAAAAAATATTAAATTTAATTTAAAAAAAAAAGAAAGAAATTACAAATTCCGTTTAAAAGCAAGACCCACTACTCTCACCATTTATTCATCTGTTTGGCCTCATTTTCTAAGTCTTTGAATAGTCCATCTGCTACCTTAGAACTCTCCCTTACTGGAAAAAAAAAAATACACAAGTACACACGGTTCATGTAAACAGGTCCCTACCTTTGTTCTGGATGCCACTTTCTGCTTTTCCTCATTTTTGAGTATTGCCTATTGTCGTTTCAGCTAACTTTGATGAATGTCGGATAGATAGCAGAGACACACAGAGACAGGAGAGAGAAAGACAGGGAGAGAAAGGCCAAAAGGCCATTGAGGAGCAGTGTTCAGCTTCTACAGAATTTCTTGTCCAGGAGTGCCGTTCTGCTTTTTGAGAATTTCTTGTTCACGTCCTCTTTCACTGTTTTCCCAGGCTAGTAGTAAAGCCTTGGTGCTTGATGCCTTTAAATGTGGGTGATGTCCCTTCTCTAGACATTTAACGACTTCTAGCTCACCGTGACACAATTCTTTTCTTCTCACGTGGCCCAGTCTCAGAGTGGCCTTGGTTGTCTCTTCTCAGTTCCCGGCACTTGACGTTTCACATTGGTAGCGTCCTCCCTCCCACCGTTCCCTCCTCCTCCTGCCCAAAGCCTTCTTTGTCACCCTGTCCAGTGTGTGGCATTAGAGAGCACGCCGACTGGGCCTGCCCTGGCCTCTCCACGTCCCTCCACCCCCTTCTCATTTTTCTCTACTTCCTTACGTATGTCTTCCTATGTTTAGAGGACACTGCCTTCAAAGGGCACTCATAAGTATTATAACACATTTAATATGTGTTTTTATTTCTTTCCCCATGGAGTTAACAGCATTCGTGGTCATCGTCCGAGTCCGCACTTAAAAGTGCTTTTCATCTTCAAAGACCTCTAGAACTAGGTGAGGCTCTGGAGGTGGGCCTGGCTACCAGGCTCCTCTGGTCAGGCAGCTAAATGCATTAATTAAGCGTCATGTGCTTTGTTTCAGGAGAGGGTCACTGACAGATTTATCACTTCCTTTGATTCACTTTCACCAGTTTTTCCTTCTTTTTTCTTCAAAAGCTATAGTCCACAATGGACCTTTTTTTTTTTTTTTGCGGGGGTGGGGGGTGGGGGTGGGGGCAGGGTACTTCAAAGACGTACAGTCTTCTGGTGGAATATACTGTTTCATGCCTCGGACTCCTATGACGCCCTTTGCTTCAGTCCTATAGGGAAGCCATTCAGAGCCTTCATGGACCCAATATTGGAGTTTTCTTTTCACATCTTTCTTGTCCCTGAATTTCTCTGGAACAAATTCAGCTCTTCCCCTGCCCTGTTTCTGTAGAAACTCTCACACTCTTTCTCCTGTTTATTCCAGTTTCAAGCCTTCTCCTCCTTCTTGCAGCAGGTCCTGGACTTCTGATTGGAATCTTGGATTCAAGAAAATACCCTTTAGAACGCAATACCAAGTACCCTTTGACCTTCAGTTGCTTGGCACCACCAACCACTTCCTCATCATGTCTCCTCTGTCTCTGCCTTGTGTAGAGAACGGTCCTCTCCCTCCCTTCTTTGCCTCTTCTCTTTTCTTTTTTCTTTTTTTCTTTTCCTTCTCTGCATTTTTCCTTCCTCTTTCTTTTCCTTCCGCTGTCTTCTTTTTCTTCCCCTGCCTTCCTCCTTTCCTTCCAAAGGTGGGGCTCTTTCAAGTTAAGTCACTTTTTTTCACAGCCGGAAAATGATCAGACCAGGATTTGAACACCAAACGGAGAGACTCAAAGGCCTTCCTTTTCTAATTTTGAAAGGAACTGATACATTAATTATGACATGAATCACTGATAAACAATTGAACGTGTTACATATTCCCAGAGAAAATCACAGCACCTTTCTAGACCCCATTTCCCTCGTAGGTAAAGCAGAAGGGGTTAGTTCAAGCTAATAGGAGCTTCCAGTTTCATTCAAATCTATAGGCATCATAATTAGAATGTCAGCCTCAGTGTCTTCATTTTAATACAAGGATATAAACAGCCTCCTAAGTTTTGGGTGATAATTAAATTAGAGAATGTACATAAGACCCAGCATGGTTTATTCAAACATAGCAAGAATAAGAGGTCATTGCCATGTAAGTACTGTGAAACTTAAAGCTAAGCACTGTGCTAGGTACTTAAACCTTCGACTCTTCATTTAGACTAGCAAGAGAGAAGGGGCTACTCACAGTTTTATTTATATTCTAATAACTAATATCTCTTAACCCCCTAAAATATTCTTATAACATGCCTTGCAGCATAAGTAACTGAAGGCAAAGGGGATATTTTGGGGCCAGAATCTTCCCATGCCTCACAAATAATGCTTATAGATAGTTACCAAAGGGACCCTGCTCATAATATCCTTTACTGGAAAAACATCCAAGGTTGGAGTATTTCCACAAATAGGACCAGGAAAATTCCCATGGTGCCGAGGCACTTGTTTCCAGGGGGTTAGTGGGTCAACTGCGGCTCCCTATTCCCAGTGGAAAAGTGCAAGTTATCCCACAGGCCACAGGGCCAAAGGAGAGTCGATGTGGTGTGTGGGAAAGAGCACAGGGTTGGATGGGGAGACCTGGATTCTCTTCCCAGCCCCGCACCAGCCTGGTGGGATCCTGGGTAAATCGCTCCACCTGCCTGGAGAGATGAGTCATTCACAGTCTCATTGTGCACCAGAATCACCTGGGAAATTACAGCTAAATACCAATGCCTGGGCTTCTCCCCGGAGTTTCTGATTCAGTTACTCTCGAGTGGGGCATCAGCATTTTTCAGAAGCTTACCAGGTGATTCTCACATGCAGCCAGAGTTGAAATAATTTGGTTACACAATAATTCCATCCTCTTCTAGGTTAATCTGTTATTCTCTAAATATAGGCTTGAACACAAGACCTGGGCCGAGATGCTGTGCTGTAATAGAATGTTATTTTTCATAAGCCACTTGCCACCTTTTCTTTTTTGGTGAAAGAATGATATTGATTTTTGCATCTGAAAAATCACTATCATGTGCCTACTATGTGCAAGGTGCTTGGAGATGCCAACCAACAGCTTGGTTCATGCAGGCGCAATTGCCTCGAAGAGCAAGAGTCTCTCCTCATCAAATTCCCTTTATCCTCTGGGAGATGGTCAGAAGCTCAGAGCACTTTTCCATCTGGAAAAGTCACTGGGGAGAACGCCTTTGCTGCTGTAGCAGATGAGGAACTTGGCTGACCTCCCTCTCTGCTGATAAATGCCCAGAGACTGGGTGAGAACCATCCTTCTTTGTATCCCCCAGCTTTATGCTTTCCACTCCCAGTCACCCCACAGTTCCAGAGGTGATGGGAGCCACAATCAGAGGTCCAAGGCAAAGTTAGGCATTGGCTTTGGTGTCAACTCCAGAGAGAGGAAAATCCACTCTTAGGTACTCAAAAGATTTGCATCTGAAGAAAAAGTAATGTGGTATTTTTCAGAGATGTTTAAACTAATTCCTCCTAAATCCAAATATTTATTCATAGTCCATCTCTTTCCAGAAAAGATTTAAGGCAAAGGATCAAAATTTGGCTAGACACCAAAGTAGATCTCCTCTAGCGGAAGCCAGGCTGATGAGCACTCCCCATATCTTTCTAGAATGGCAGCCCTCCTGTTTCCATCTGTTAAATGACTGTGTAACTTTCTAGACTCTG